TTTCCAGGATTTACATCTCAAAATTAAATTTGTCCTGGTATAAAAAGTCAATCAGAGATTTCTATACACTTGCAAATTCTCAGCAAGCCATAACCCAAACAAGCTTTTTGACTAGTTTACACATTAAAACAATAACCAACAATAGCCCAATTATTTTAGTGGTAACCAAATTATGAAAAGTTGCTTGACATAACTGATACAAGAAGTTCACCAACTTGAAACTTGAAACAATCAGGTGACTTTGGTTTTGTTAAATGCATTTCCAAATTGCTTTACACAGAGAATCAACATGTCATCATTAACAGTTAAAACTACAATTTAAGAGTGTGCTTACCCAAGTTTGGACGCTAGCTTCTTTACCTTGAGCATGATGTGCTGAACCTGGATGATGCTTCCATGCAAAGGTTGCCCAAAGGCCCAAGGCTATTGCCAGAGGGGCCCACACTGTAGCTGCTGCCCCTCCCCCCCTCTGTCCTTTCCTAGGTGGGGGAGGGTGAAATCAAAGGTGAGGGCTTAAAGGGTGAAACTCTTCTCCTATGAGACTGGTTAATGATACCCTCTTGACTCAAAAGGAGTGGGAGAAAGGAGTGACCAGGGTTGTAAGGAGGAGTTTCAAAACTCCTTAATGATCAATCATAAAACCTCCAAAATCTGCTAAGATATTTTTAGCTGTTTTAACTTTTCCCTATAAACTTCATGAAGGAGGATTCAGGGGTGTAGAGGGAAAGGAGTAAGCAAGCCTCAAGGAAGCAAAAAGCAACTGCAGTTTTCCCCAATTCTCTAGTGCTGAGAGAATTAATGGAATTGGCCATAATACTTCCTGATAGGGCGTCTGTCCTTGTCCTCTATGCTTCAGATGGTGTACCCAGATCCATGGCTTCTAATTGACCCACTGGACCGAGAGCCTGAGAGTGTCAGGACTAGTTCAAAACAGCCTCGTAACTGTCTGCCCAAAAAGCACCTTCAAGCCTTAGTGCTTGGAGAGTGACCCCAACTGCAGAGCAAAAAAGGAAGGGCAGGGGAGATTTACATACCTTCCAATCTTGGCTGGAGAAGAAGTTAAGGTTAGGCAGTTTCCCTGTATGGGCCACCAAAATGATGAGGTCTGGAGGTTCAGGGGTGCTGGAACCCCAAAATCAGAACACGCGGGTCCTGCCCGAAAGAATTCGACCCAAGCCTTCTTTCAGCCAAAGACAAGGTTTATTAGAACATCCATCATATTGGGCAGACTCTTAAGGAGTCTGAACATTAGTAAGCTATTGGCTAGATTATAAGAATCTGAGCAATGGCTAGATTTTAAGAATCTAAGCCAATAAGTAAATACTTTTAAGCAACTTGAAAGGGACTCTCAACAAATTTGAAATAGTTACATTCTAATGGGGGAGATGGAACAAATTTTCTCTCTGAACCCTAATATCATGAAGGGTCATAGAGGGAATTGACAGCCTAGGAGTGATGTTTTGATTATCTATAAAGATGAAGTATGAGTGTGTGTGTTGTAGAGGGCACACACTAGGAAAGAAAAGGGAAAGGTGAAATTCACAATCTCAAATAACTGGGGTGCACAAATAGAATATGATACAAACACGAAAGTGGAAACAGGGAGAAACTTCACTTTTCATCTGAACTGGACAAAGGAGGGTAGAAAACACATAACACAAAGACTATGAGTGGATTTTTAGCACTGAGAAGAGTGGCTGGCACAGATTAGGTGTTTACAAAAATGCTTGTTGAGCGACTATTTAATGATTAATTGATTCAACTCAAATGGGAAACAAAAAGACAACTGCGAGTGGAGAAGAATAGTGGATATGAGAGAGGGTAGATTCAGGGAAGTTAACTCAATTTGATTCAGTAAACATTTATTAATCGTCTACCATGTGCCAGGCACTGTGCTAAATGCTGAGGATACAAAAAAGAAAAGGAGACAGTCCGTGACCTCAAGGGGCTTCTATCTAATCTAATCTAATAGGGGAAGACACACCAAAAGTTTGAAGCTAAAAAGCAAAGGTGGAGGTAGGGTACCAGGGGGTACCCAGCTCAGGGGGCATGTTCCATGTAGCATATTCTTTCTTCCTTGGGTTTTTATGACAATGCTCTTTCCTACTTCTTTATCTGCTTTCTTCAGTCTCTCTTGCTGGATCATCATCATCCCTGTCCTTTCCTCTTCATGTGGACCCAGGACTTTGTCCTGCGCTGCCTTTTCTTTATAGTTTCTTTTGGTAATTTCATCAATTCCCAAGGTTTAATTATCTTCTGCCAAATCCAAATATGTACAATCCCTTCCCTCTAACACAGGCACCACTCTAGTTCTGGACCTTATAACCTTTCAGCTGGATTGTCTAATAGCGTCCTAATTGGTCTTGCTGCCTAGAATCTCTTCCCTCTCTAATCCATCCTCCACACAGTTAACATTAATACTTCTAAAGCAAAGGTCTGACCACATCATTCCCCTGTTCAAAAAGCTTTAATGACTTCCTATTTCCTCTAGAATAAAAAGTCAACCCCTTTTTTGGCATTTAAAGTTTTCCACAAAATGGTTCCCACCTATCTTTGGCGGCTGAGTGGAGGATGGAATGGAGATGACTGAAGTAAGTGATTTTCCTACAAGCACAGGTCAGAACATGTCACTACTACTGCAGTGGCTCTATTACCACCAAGTTCATGTTTAGCACTTAACAGCTCTTCACAACTTTGCCCCTTCCTTATCTTTTCAGTTACTCTGCACTTTAATTCCCACCTTGACATACAATGGCTTTCTTGCTGTTCCTTACACAGAGGAATTCATTTTCCTACTTTGCTTTTTCAGTAGTTGTCCCTTCTTCTCACCTCTGCCTCTTGGCTTCCTTCAAGACTCAAACTCAAATGTGGAAGACCTTTCCTAGTCTGTTCCCACCTCTCTCCTCCAACCCCCAGTACAATCCTGATGAAGTTACCTTCCATCCACTCTTGTATCTTGTATGTACATAGTTGTTTGCATGTTGTCTACCCCATTAGAATGTGAGCTCCTTGAGGGCAGAGTCCAATTATTTGCTTTTCTTTGTATTCCCTGCATTTAGCAAAGTGTAAATACTTATTGACTATCCCAACAGATTTCATATTACTCTGCTCCTCTCCCCAAATACATTTTACATTCCAGCCAAATCAGACTCCTTTGCTATATGCTATACATGCCATTCCATACCCTGTCATCATGCCTTTGCACAGGCTCAACTGCTACTTCCTCCTGGAAACCTTTTTTGATCTCCAGTTGTTTGTGCTTTGCTTTTCCCTAAACCCGATTACTTTCTATTCATTTTATGTTTATTTACCTGTGTACTTGTGGTGTCTCACAAACAAGTGTGGTGTCATTCAGTAGACTACAAGATCCTTAAGGAACTATTTTCATGTTTTTGTATTCTAAGCACCTAGCACTATGCCTAGTATAAAGCACACACTTAAAAATGTTTTTAAATGGAATTGAGTATTTCTTTGAATTCCTCCCTCATATTTGTTGTTCTTTACAGTGTAATATTATTCCATTATACTCATATACCACAATTTGTTCAACTATTCCCCAATGGCAGACATTTATTTTGATTTTAACTTTCTGTTACTTCATAAAATATTCCTATAAATACAACCTCTTTTTCTGTCATTGGTTGCCTTGGAGTATTAACCTTGGAGCAGGATCACTAGGTTACAGGCACGAACAGTTTTGGTCACTTAAACACATAATTCTAAGTTCATTTCTAGAACATTTGAGCCAATTCAGAAGTATATCAACATTATCGTGCCTGTCTTCCCATAGCTACTCTAACACTGAATATTTTCCTCTTTTACCACATTTGCCAATTTGATGAGTATGAGGTGATACTTTATTTAAATATTTCTTTTTATTAGTGATTTGGAGTATTTTTTCCCATATAGATTTTGGTAGTATATGTTTTTTGCTTTGGAAGCTTTTAATCACACATACTTAGGACTGATTCTTAGTGTTTATACACACACACATATATATTACATATATGTATATATGTGTGTATATTTGTAGGACTTTTATCAGAGATTTTTTTTTTGGCAATTGGGGTTAAGTGACTTGCCCAGGGTCACACAGCTAGTAGGTATCAAATGTTTGGTCTGAGGCTGGATTTGAACTCAGGTCCTCTTGACTTCAGGGCTGGTACTCTATCCACTGTGCCACCTAGCTGCCCCAAAGATAGTCTCTATTCTCATTTTTTTTTTTAGGCAATTGGGGTTAAGTGACTTACCCAGGGTCACACAGCTAATAAATGTCAAGTGTTTGGTCTGAGGCTGGATTTGAACTCAGGTCCTCCTGACTTCAGGGCCGGTGCTCCAGGGATGTTAAATACAAAGGTTTTTCTCCAATCCATTTCTTATTCTAGCTGAAATGATTTTGTTTGTGCAAGCTTTCAAAATGTTATAAAATCAAGATTTTCTTTGATAATCCCTTTTATTCTTTGTTGGATTATGAATTCTTCTTTATCTCCCTTTTTATGATATGATAGTTCATATTTGAATCATTTATCCACTTGGAACTTACTGGAGTATATTTTAAGATGTTCCTTTAAAAGCTGTATTCTGCCAAATTGCCTTAGTTTTCCCAGAAATTCCTGTCAAAGAAGTTCTTCTCCTAGTATGGTCTCCTTTCAACATAGTCAACAGTATTTACTTAAAACCCATAAGCTAGCATGATTTATGATAAAGAAGTACTGGAAGCTTTCCCAAAAAGTTAAGCCTCCTTTCTCCACTATGACAAAGTACAAGACATTCTAGCTACAAGACAAGAGGAAGAAATTAAAGGAATAGGTATAAGCAAAGAGGAGGGGTAATTATCCCTATCTGCAGATGATATAATGATTCACATAGAAAATTTTAGCAAACCAATAATATGGTAATCAAAATAATTACAGCTTTAATAAAATAGCAGCAAATAAAATTAATCCACAGAAATCATCAAATTTAATAAAGGAAAACAAATAAATGTAGAAATATTCAGTTTATTGTTGGGCAGCACCAAATATCTATAATCATCAAATTTATAAAATACAGCAGAATGTACAGCAGAAGGGAAGTCTTGGGGAAAATGTAATTTGAAATGAAGATTAAATGTTTCATTTAATTTAAAAACCACTTATTAAAATTGTAGATTTGTTTGAATAGGCAAAGTAATATATTTTCTTCTTTTCCAGAGCATATGCAGAGCTCCAGTCTTGGATTATCTATCCTGTATGAGAACCACTTTGTTTTGCAGTAGCCAAAATGCTACCTAGACGTTTAGTGAAGATCACTATCTAGAGCAGGAAGGGCACTCAGAGGCCACCCAGTCCAGGCTAGAAGCCTCAGTTTTGTTGCTGAAGGCAAAGCCATTTAGTTGGTATTTCATAGGAATATCTTTCCACCATGTTTTCATCATATGGTATATGCCATGAGTCTCCTGTTGTCTGTACCACTGTATCATAGGTGAGAACAGACTGTTGAATCAGAAACAGGACATAAGATTTATGTTAGTATTGACAGAATATATTGATAGCAACACTGACCTGAAAGAATGGCAGAATTATCCATTGAACCCCCAGGACATTCTTCATTGCTCCATGAGTTCAATACTTCTTTCTCATCTTTCTTTCTCAGTCTTTCTCATCTTGTTCTCATAGCAGGAACTTCAACATACTTATTGATGATTTCTCAAATATCCTAACTTGCAGTTCCAATCTACTTAATTCTCAATGTCTACTCTTCAACTCTTCCTCAGCTACAGAGATGGTCATATCACTGATCTCCACATCTCACAACACCCACAACATACCCAATTCTATGTTTATGATCTCCAAAATTCTTTTTTCTCCACTTATACAGCCACTATCTTAGAGCAGGTTCTCATATCCCCCAATCAGTTATATCCTAGTAGTTTCTTGTTGTAAATCTTTTTTGGCATTTAAAGTCTTTCACAATCTGATCCCTTCCTACCTTCCAGTCTTCTAATAATACCTTATTCTTCTCCAGGTACTCTGTGATACAACTATACTGGCTTGATGTTTGTTGCTCACATGTGATACTCATCTCCTGACTCCGGGCCATTTCATAGATTGTCCCCAATTCGTGGAATGCTCTCCCTGCTCATCTCCACCTCCTGGCTTCCTCCAAGTCTCAGCTCAAACATCACCTTCTGTAACAGGCCTTTTTCCTGGTTGTTCCCCTCTTCCTATTGTTAATGCGTTCCTTCTACTCTGTATTAATCTTGCATGTATATAGTTGTTTGCATACTGTCTCCACATTAGAATATGAGCTCTTTGAGGGCAGGGACTCTTTTCACCTTTCTTTGTGTACTCCAGGCACAGCACATTGCCCATCAGATAGCATTTGGTAAATACTTGCAGATTGACTTGGATGGAAGGTAACTTAGAGACCTTTTAGTCCAAGCTAGAGCAGTACAGGAATCCCTTCTACAATATGCCTAACAAGTGATCATCTAGCTTATGCCTGAAGATCTAAAGTGAGGTATAACTGACTATTTTCTCAAAGCAGCATATTCCACTTTTGGACAGCTCTACTTAAAAAAAAAATTAGTTTAAAAAAAGTTTTTAAGTTCAACTGTGAATGAGAATACAATAACCCAAGACAATTCCGAAGGACTCATGATGAAAAATGTTATCCATCTCCAGAGAAACAACTGATAGAGTCTGAATGTAGATCAAAGGATATTATTTTTCACTTTATTTTTTCATGTTTTTCCCCCTCTAGGTCTGTGTCTTCTTTCACAACATGACTAATATTGTATTATGTTTTACATGATTGAACATGTATAACCTGTATCAAATTGCTTATTGTCTCAGAGAGAAGGGTAGGTGAGGGAGGGAGAGAGAACATTTGGAACTCAAAAATTTTTTTTAATGAACGATAAAAATTGTCTTTACATGTAACTGGGAAAAACCCAAAATATTATTTTTAAAAAATTTTAAAGTTAATACCAAAAACTAAACTGAACTCATGAACATTTTCATATATAAAGTTGGACACGAAGGAGAATTAAATATGAAGCCATGAATCTCTATTGCATACCATTTACTTTTTAAATAAAGTATATAATGAATCCAATCCATTACTTTTTTTTGTGTGTGTGAGGCAATCTGGGTTAAGTGACTTGCCCAGGGTCACAAGTGTCAAATGTATCAATCCATTATTTTCAAAACTGTCTTGCTTGTCTGTTCCCTTCTCATCTACCTTCTGTACTCTTCTGTGTACTTATAAAAATGTGTTAATGGTCCTCCTCTTTTCCTTTTTTTGGTAACTTTGCTTCTCTCATCCCTTCCAACCCCCTCCAATTAAGAGGAAAAAAAAAAACCCTTCTTGTAACATAGTCAAACAAAACAAATTCACACAATTGCCATGCCCCAAATGCATGTTTCTTTATGTACCCTGAGTTTGTCACCTCTTTGTCAAGGGGTGGAGAACATGAAGCATTATATAGTTCCTCTGAAAACATGGTTGGGGATTGCCGTGAGAAAAGTTCTTAAGTCTTTCAAAACTGTTTCTTTACAAGACTGTTTCCATTGTATAAAATGTTCTCTTGGTTTTGCTCAATTCACTCTATGTCAGGTCCTATTTCCAAAGATTCCCAGAAATTATCTCTTTTCTATTATATTCTCTTACCACAATTTATTCAGTCATTCCCCAATCAAGGGACACCTGTTTAGTTTTTAGTTCTTCCCCTTTCTTTTAATCTCCCCTGTGGGATCAGTTTGTTTTGCTTGTTACATTCCCTTCCCTGTGTTATCCTGGGGCTATCTTGCGCAAGTGTGATTTTGATGCCTCCAGATATATTACATCCATCTCTTGCTAGTCTTTGGTTCAGCTAGGATATTTTCTACTTGTTTGCCTGAGTGGGAACCAGCTTTTCTGATAGGTCCCCTTTTCTATTGCCCATATGGTTATGGGCTTATGGTGTAGTTGTGAAATTCTGACTTTATGATTTAAGTGCAACTGCTCTCTTCAAAGTAATCAATGATTTTTTTTTTTGGCAAGGCATTTGGGATTAAGTGACTTGCCCAGAGTCACACGGCTGTGTTATGTGTCTGAGGCCGAATTTGAACTCAGGTCCTCCTGACTCCAGGGCTGGTGCTCCCTATGATGCTCTATCTATCTATCTTTGCCCTTTTCCCTTTTTGCCCCTTTTCAAAAGGAATTTGGCTCCTTTGTTTACAATTCCCAGAAAAACCTTAAAACTTTTAGATTCTCTGTTTGAAATCTTATTCAAATGCGCTTTCCTTCCTGATCCCAAAAAGAATCTGGCTTCAGTTTGTCTACAGATCCCAGGAAAACCCTAAAGTTTTAGAAACTGCTTTTATTTTCTTTTGAAAGCAAACTTCCCCTTCCAACTCCCTTCATTATCTTTTCTCATTGTCTGTTCAGATCTCTCGGACATTCCAAATGGAAATTCTCACCCTAACCGAACCCTTCCTCTCAATCACCTCCCCCCTCCAACTGGCCTTGCATTGCGCCTACACCCAATCTCCCTTCCATTGTTTCACCTTCCTATAGCCTTTGGTCACTTCTCACCCTTAATTTGAGCTAGGCGCCATAAAGTCCAGGACCCAGGAGTTCTGTTCATCTCAGCTTACTAGCCACTCCCATCCAGATCTCCTTAGACCCCTCCTCCTGTCACTCCAAACTGCTTGGCCACTCCTAGACCCCTTCCCCAGTCTTTCTGTACTTAAGACTCATCTTTGCCCCATTCTGATGCTGAGCTGTTTCTCAAGCTTAGAGGCTGAGGCCCTCCTGTCTGCTCATGAACGAGTGTTACATGGCCTATCCACCCCAATCCCCATTCAGAGGCTGGGAATTTCTCATGCCCCTAGAGGCTGAGACTCCCACGCCCGCCCATGTTTATGGGGGTCACCTGGCCTCCTTAGCCCCCAGCCCCCATTTAGATCACTGATGTTTGGGTTCCTTGGGAGTCTGGCCTATATGCTTTATCTTTAATAAACTTTTTCTCTGGCTGGAAGAAGATCTGGGTTGAATTCATTCAGGCAGATTCAGTGCCGCGATCTGGGCTTTTTCCCAGCACCCCAAAACCTCCCGCGATTTTGGGGTACCTCTGTGCATCTAGGAGCATCCCAAAACGCCCCCACCTCTTCATATCCACTGCACCACCGAGCTGCTCCGCCAATGATTTCTTAACTGACAAATCTAATGGCCTTTTCTCAATCCTCATCCTTCTTGACATCTGCAGTCTTTGACAGTGTTGATTACTGTCTTTTTTTTTTTTAACCATCTTTATAAAAAATACAAATCAAGCAGCCCCTCCCAAGTACAGTTCTAGGGAATTGGAGGTAGTGGTGATGGAAAGGGAGAGGAAAAAAAGAAGGGACCAGGGAGAGGTGGAAGTTTCAGAGAAAGGAGGTAGGGGAAGTTTTCCAGAAGGGGCAGGAGATTTTTCTAAGCACCTCCTTTTCATTTCAAGTACCTATTATTATTCACCAGAAGGGGACGATTAGTCCAGAGAGTTAAGTGGCCACTGGAAATGTCCTGGGGATGGGGAACTGGTGCTCAGTTTCAGTGCCCACCAAAGTCTCTGCCCCTCTCCACAAAAGGGAAGGAGACCCAAACTTTTTGCACCCACCCTAACCCCAGCAAGACACCCAGCTTCATGCGTTATTCTTTGAGTCCTAGGGACCTGCGGCTATCTCAGCTGCATGGAACAACTGAAAGGCATGGAGACCAGGGTTGAAAGGCAGGAGCAGGCCATCAGGGTAGAGGGCCAGGTGGCCACCATAACTCCAGCCAGGAAAAGCAGAAGTAGTAGCTGCCAGTTCCAGGCCAATGTTCAGCAGCTTAGCCAGCACTCTCCTGCCCACTCCCTGCCACCCCTAGCATCTGAGGCCCTCAGTGTTACTTCAGATAGTCCCTGAAGGAGGTTGTCAAAGTGGTTGAGTGCCCAATGTTGGGTAGGTCTAAAACTAGAAATGGGGTATGGGGTTATGTGCAGGAAGAGGGGGGATGCAGTGCTCAGATGAGCCACTCTTCAGGGGAAGCTTCAGGTTGGGGTGCAGTGGTGCCCGGGCACCCTACTGCTCTTCACTGCTGGGCTGGTAGGTGCCCTCTATCTGGCATTTCTCATGAAGCTTCTGGCCCAGCAGGGCCAGTGCCACTACCCACGACTGAGAATACAATGATGGCAGTGACTGCACCCTGGGACAGGGTCCCAATGGCTCATGGTGCTGTGGAAGGGGTAGTAGTGTTGTTTTCATGCCCAGTGTACCTAGTATTATGGGCCAAGGTGGGCTGGTGGTTCAATAGTTGCAGGCTCAATGACAAGCCCAGGCCCAGGGCAGGGCTGCTTGCCATGGGCCCCTGGGGAATTGAACCAGGCCTAGGCTGTGGCTGAGTTGGCTCCAGACTTCTGGTGGCTATTGCATTTCAGGCTGCTGGCGCCAGCTTTCAGTTCTGGTCCTCAGCCTGGCAGTCAGTCCTTTTGTCCCTCAGTCCCGATTACTGTCTTCTTGATGATCTCTTCTAGGTTTCTGTAATACTACTCTCTTCTGATTCTCCTCCTACCTGTCTGACTACTCCTGCTCAGTCTCTTTTGCTGGATCTTCATTCAGATCATGACAGTTAACCATGGGAGTCTCCTAAGGCTCTGTCCTGGGCCCTCTTCTCTTCTCCCTTTATATTATTTTATTTAGTGTCATGACTTCCCATGCTTTCAAACTGCCATCTATGTTGGTAATTCCCAGATCTTCGTTATCCTCTCCTGGATGTTCTCCAGCCTTTCAATGTTACTCCTAAACTGTGGAACTTAAAACTGAACAAGAGATTCCAGACGTAGTCAAATCATGGTCAAGTACAATGGTACTACTGTCTTTCTAGACCAGAATAGAATCTCTCTCTAATGTAGCCCAAGATTATACTAGTTTTTTTTTATTTGCTAATATACATCTAATACAACAAAAGGAGAACTCACCAGAACTAATAGGCACATATAGATTGAGCAAGGGAAGAAGTATGAAGAATCTTAAAGTAGTTTTGATTCTGTAGTGAATAATAAATAATAATAATTTGATTCCACTGTGCTTAACAAATAAATAATAAAAGTTTTAAAAACCAAACCAAACCAAACCCGTCTATGAAGGTTCATTTCATGAAGTCATAGGTTCTTTTCAGTGATATCTAATGAATACTGAAAAATTTCAGTGTGTTAGAAACTTTTTGTTTTTATAACTCAGAAAATTTCAGACAGTAGAGAAAAAAAATGAAACAATTACAACTCCATTTTAGAAGGAAAGGAGGTAGAGGGAATTCTCTTTAACAGTTAATAGTTGTATATGGCCTTTCTGAAATAATGCTCTTTTTTTGTCTCACATTCTTAATCAGTATCATACCCTGCTGACCCAACACAGAGAGGTGAAAACACACCTGAAAAATGATCTTTTTTCCTGGGTAATAGTTGAGGAACACAAGTTGATGTCCCTGCTGCCACCTAAAGAATAGATGTCGAGTCTTGTCATCAGGCAAACAGGCTTTGTGGTCCCGCATCAGATCTCTGGTAAGAAATCTGCAGTGGTTCCCTGAGTGCAGAGTGGCATATAATAGGAAGGCATCATCTTCTGAACTAAGTCAACCAAAAAGAGAGAGAGCTCTGAAGAGTTAAAAGAAAGAGACACAATTGTCTTCTCTATACTTTATATTTCTTTACTATTTTTTGAAGAAGTGTTCTAAATTGTTGATACTATGAATACAGCAGTTTTCATTACCCACTGCAGGTCTTTATAACACCAATAGTAATATTTCAAAGAGAGTACAAAAGACTGAAAGGGAAGATGATTTGATCTGTTGAAGGTCTATAGTTTAGGGTTCTATTTACTCAGTCAGGTAGTTTAAAACTGTTTAAAACTGAAGCAGCTAGATGGCACGGTAGATAGAACACTAGCCCTAAACTTAGGAGGACCTGAGTTCAAATCAGGCCTCGGATCTAACACTTGACACTTACTAGCTGTGTGACCCTGGACAAGTCACTTAACCCTAACTGCCTAAAACAAACAAACAACAAAAAAAACTTGTTTAAAATACTGACTTTCAGCTCCTAAATGCTAATTTGTGACCAAAGCATATTTTTTCTATTTGTAACATTGATTAAATCAAGCATTTCTTCCCTCCAAAACTCATAGAACAAGCTAGAGATGGGTATTATGCACAACACGTTCTTTGTCGAACCCCAAATGGAAGATGAAATTTGCATTTTTCAAAGCAGTTCCTAGGGAGTTACTCAGATCAGAAATTTCCTATATTACAAAGGTTTCCCTCCTTCAAGAATCACTAAGGACTCATAATTTCCTAAAGTCCCAGAGACAGCTATAATTTTTCTCTATCAATCCCACCCCTAATATAAAAATACTCATTACATTTCTGCACATGTGGGAGGAATGTTGGCAACCACTTGGGTTCTGAGCAATTCTGACTACAAAATGTTACAAAATCTTACTACTGGTTCAATTTAAGTGAGTCTATTTCAAATCCCTGTGTAAAAAAAACAACAACCGAAAAAACCCATAACCTTCCCCTGGGACTTAACTCTGTCCTGAGTCCCCTTCTATTTTTTCCCATTTGGCAATTTCATCAGTATCTATGGGTTTAATTATCATCTTTATGTAGATGACTCCCAGATTTATATATCTACCTCTAGTCTCTGTGTGTTTTGAATCAATAACTCGTTGCTGAACATCTTCACAGGCATCTCAAACATCACAAATCCAAAATAAAACTAATTGTTTTCCCCTCTAAATCCATCCTGCCTCCAAACTTTGCTATTTCTCTATAGGGTACCATAAATTTTCAGTCACTCAGATTTCCAACCTCAAAGTCATTCCTGAGTCTTCACCCTCCCTCAAACCCTCAACCAATAAATTATCAAATCTTATCTGCAACTATTATTCTTGATTCTTCACTCTCTCTCATTCTGCCTCTGTTGTTGTTTAGTCCTTTTTCAGTTGTACGCAACCCTTTGTGGCTCCATTTGGGGCTTCGCAAAGATACTGAAATGGTTTGCCATTTCTTTCTCCAGTGGGTCCAGTAGATCCATTTTGTCAGGTAATCAGAGGTTAAGTGATTTGCCCAGGATACAGGTCTTCCTGACTCCAGGGCCAGTGCTCTATCCACTGAACCACATCCTGCCTACCCAACTGTTAAATACTGTTATTTTAATATGCAAATAACTTTTTTGAATAAGTCCCTTTCTCTCTACTTATTTAGCTACCATCATTAATTCAGGAGCCTCTTGCTTAGGTTATGGTAACAGCTTCCTGACTGGTTTCCCTGTCTCTAGTAGAGATTACTATTCTAATCCATTCTCCACACTGCCACCAAAGGATTTTTCTAAAGGGCATGTCTGACTATGTTACAGCCAGCCACCCACCCTATCCCTTCCCCCTAATAAACTCCAGTGGTTCCTTATTATCTTTAGAATCAGTCAGTCAATTAAGTGTCTATTATATTCCAAGCATTGTGTTAAGCATTGGGGATAGAAAAAAAAAAAAAAAAAAAAAAAAAAAAAGGCAAAAGACAGTCCCTGCCCTCAAGAAACTCACAATCTACTAAGGGAGACAACAAGCAAGCAGATAGATATGTATAAACAAGTTATAAATACAGAATAAAAAGGAAATAGTTGACAGAAGGAGGGCACTAGAATTAAAAGGGGTTGGGAAAGTCTTTCCTATAGAAGGTGGGATTTTAGATGGAATGTGAAGGAAGTCAGGAAGCAGAGAAGAGGAGGGAGAACTTTCAAGGAACAGATGAAGAAAAAGCCCAGAGTTGAGAGATGGAGTATCTTGTTTGTGGAACAGCAAGGGGGCCAGTGTCGCTGGATTAAAGAGTACCTGGTAGTGAGTAAAATATAAGACTAGAAAGGTAGGGTGGGGGAGGTTAAGTTACAAAGAGTTTTGAATAGCAAACAGAAGATTTTGTATTTGATCTCAGAGATGACAGGGAGCCACTGGAATTTACTAAGCAGAGAGGTGACACGGTTGGACCTGTGCTTTAGGAATATCACTTTGGCAGCTGGAATGGAGTGGGAAGAAAATTATGGCAGAATCAATAAACAATTCTGGCATTTAAAGCTCTCTGTGACCTGGCCATTAGATTATAAGATTCCTAAGGGCAGGGACTATCTTTTGCCTCTTTTTGTATGTTGAGGACTTAGCCCAGTGCCTGACACATAGTAGGTGCTTAATAAATATCTACTGATTATTGATTGATTAGAGTTATCTTATATTTCCCATTTTATTACATATTACTATCTTGCAAGTGCTGTACTTTTTTTTTCTTACATATGATTTTTTTACACATATTAGGCCTGCATAACATTCGGCCTGTGGACCACTTGCAGTCTGCCAAAGGATTTTGGGCTGCCCATGAAAAATGTAGGGGGTGTAAAAGAAAGTAAAGATGTAATGAGTGCTTTGTCCCAGCCCCGTTTAAGCCACCTTGTACTAGTCACTATTGTGCCCGTCATGTAACTTGGTGGGTGGGTTGCCACTGTGTACTCATTCCTGTTTGTCATGTGGCCAGTGGCATCCAACCATTATCAGTCTGTCTCTAGTCTGAGAGGAGCAAGAGTTGTATCTTTTTGGTCGCTACTGGCATTGAACCAGGACAAAGCGAGTGCTGCCACGCACCAATGCAGCTGATGCCTCTATTTGATGAGCGGCAACAATGTAAGGATTTCTTCTCCTCCTTCACTTCGTGGCTGCCCTCCAAGTTAGATAAGTGTGTGGTGCTTTCTCCAAGTCGGACAGTTCAGTGTTTCTTTGTATATGAGCATTTGCTGTGGTGATTTTCTGGTTCTAACATTAAAGTTTTTAGGGTGACTTTGTAAAATGGATAATAAAAAGAAACAGAAGATTGAATCAGAACATAGAGTATTTAATTCGGAGTGGACAAAGAGATACTCATTTACTTGTATGAGAGACAAAATATTTGTTGGCCAAGAAGTAATAGCTGTTCCGAAGAATACAATTTTCATTGCCATTTCCAATCAAAACATCTTGACTTAAGCAAATTGGACACCAATGAAAAACAAATCGAAGCATCCAAATTGTCGAAAAATCTCAGTGGGGAACAATGGTTTTTCAAGAAAGTAAACTCAGAAAATGAGGTGGCTACTAAGGTTAGTTTTCAGATTTCTAAAGAAATTGCTGCTGCTGGGAAGTCTTTTACTGAAGGTGAGTTCATAAAGAAGTGTCTGCTGATTGCTGGACTATGTCCCAATTAAAAAAAAATGCTTTTGAGAAATAGTTTAATCATTAATTATACTTTTACTTGCAAAGTGAGGCACTAAAAACCTATCTGTGGCCTGAAGAAGTTTAGCCCATTTTAATTTTGGCCCCTACCTATTGCCAAGTTGTGCAGGTCTGCTTTATATCTTATCTGTATTTTTAAACTGTTTGTCCTCTATGCCTGGAATTCTTTCTTTTTATCTTTGCCTTTTGGAATCCTTGGTTTCCTTCAGAATTCAACTCATGTTTATCCTTTTGCATGAGGACTTTATGGGTTCCCCTCAGTTGCCTTCCTTTCTAACATTACTATATGTATACATATACATAAACACACACACAATGTGTACACACACACACACACACACAATATACAATGTATATTGTATGTGCTCTGTGTATGCCAATATTTGTGCATGTGGTCTCCTCTGTTAGAATGTAAGTTCCCTGAAGGCAGGGACTGTTTTGCTTCTGTCCACAGCACCTTAGCACAGTGCCCGGCACATGATATGACAGGTGTTTAGTAAATGTTTGATCAACTGATTTCACCTGCCTCCCCCCTACACCTGTCACTTTCTCAGTGTCACATGACCATATTTTGCACTAGCTCTCACAATTGGACATCTGATTTCTGATCTATTCTTTCTCCAATTTTTGTCCTCCACTTACTACTAAGATAATCTTTCCAAGGCATAAGTCTGACCATGTCACTTCCCTGTTTAAGAACTTCAGAGATTCCTTATTACTTCTAGCATAAAATATAAACTCTATAGCTAGGAATTCAAAGCCCTTCAGAACCTAGTTTCAGTCTACTTTTACAGTCTGTGCATTATTCTTTTTCATTCACAATATGTTTTAGGCAACCATGCCAATTAACTGTTTCCTAAATGAGAATTCTACTTCTTGCTTCTATGCCTTTGAAAAGCCTCTCCTCCATGCCTGGAATGTCCTCCATACTCATAATCAATGTTTATTGGACTAGACTGGAAATCAGAAATAAGTGAAAAATATAAGGACCTATGGGGAAAGAGGGTTACTGAGTTAAATATAATGAGTGAATTTTTAACTTCAGTCAGCACTAAATATATAGCCCATGATACAATAGAGTCCATTTCCAATTAGACTTTTTCCTGATAACAACACTTTGCATTTATGTAGTCACTTCCATTTAGATGCTCTAAAATGATCTGCTGTCAAACTATTTTTTAAAACTAATAGAAAAACAGGCACAGAGACCCAAAAGAAATTTGACCAACACTACAAATTGAATGTCTAGTGACTAGAAGAAGGGCCTCAACTTTTCTCAACCTCAAATTGAGGGGGTTCTGGATTAGATAGTCTCTAGGGTTCCCTCCAGTTCTAAAGCCTTTAATTTAGGTGCCTGAACTCAGCCTGGTGTTCCATGCATTAGGCAGGGAACTCAGTCTTCTCTGGGAATAAAGATCTTTCAAATGCTGACAAAATTTGATAGCAAACTCCATGTAGTACTAAGTTTGGGGACATATTCTTTTTTTTTTGCCTTTTTGGCGAGGCAATTGGGATTAAGTGACTTGCCCAGGGTCATACAGCCAGTAAGTGTCATGTGTCTGAGGCTGGATTTGAACTCAGGCCCTCCTGACTCCAAGGCCAGAGCACTATCTGCTGTGCCACCTAGTTGCCCCTTGGTGATGTATTCTTGCTTGAAATGATTCTTAATCTTTTTACTTACAGCACAGCTAACTAAATGCTTGTTCCACCTTTGATGGAATGCTATAATAAAATATTACTGAGATCTACTCATACACAAACTAGCTGCATGTGCCTTTTGTCCTAGATACTCACACGTTATCAGCAAAGAAGCAGTAGGCCATGTTCTGCACAGCTGCCATTTCATTCTTTTGCCACCTGGAACTTCCGTTTAGCATGTGCCTCCGACCCAGGACAAGCACTTGAAGATTCTGTTTTGTTATTTGAGAGACCACATCAAGAAGCTGAAAGGTACAAAGTCAACAGACAGGAAAAATCACAGGAGGAATTTTTATGGTGGAGAGCACTTCTTGTGACTGATCGGTTCCATGCACAAGACATTTCACCCCTAGTTCTGAGCATTCCTACCGGTTGTGCCAAGACCTGGAATTCTCTCACTCATCTGTACCTCTTGTCTTCCGTGGCTTCCTTCAAGTATGAGAAAAAATTTTACCTTGTGTAAGAAGCCTTTTGTGATCCTCCCCTAGTGCTAGTGTTGTCCCTCTAGGACTGTCCAATTTAACCTGTTTATATTTTGTTTGTATATAGTTGTTTTCATGTTGTCCCTCCCATTAGGCTATGAGTACCTGGGGAGCAGAGATTATTTTTTTCATTTCTTTGCATCCTTAATGCCAAGTATAATGTCTGGTATGTAGCAAGTGCTTATTAAAATCTTGTTGACTTGACTTGATATGGGTCTGAAGCTCAGGGAATAGACTGTGGCTGGATATGTATGTAGGTTAGGGAGTTGCCTGCATAGTTAAACCAATGGGAACAGATGAGGTTACTAAGAGAGAGTATAGAGGAAGAAGAGAAAGCATAGGAAACTGAGGAACAGTAGAAGAGAAGCAGGAAAGAAAAATGTCACAGACAATTCCAAAGGTCTCATAATGAAAAATGCTACCCACTTCCAGAGAAAGAACTAATGGAGTTCAAAGTGTACTAGTTTTCACTTTTTTTTTGTTATTTTTTTGTGGGGGGGTAATGTGTTTTCCTTCACAACATGATTAATACGGAAATATATTTTGCATGACTGCACATGTATAACCTATATCAAATTGCTTACTGTCTCAGGGGAGGGAAGGAAGGAGAGAATTTGGAATTCAAAATTTAAAAAAAAAATCAATGTTAAAAAACTGTTTATACATGCAAGTGAGAAAAAAATAAAATATTATTTAAAAAAAAAGTATAATGGAAACAGAAGAATATATCCAGAAGGATAGGGTGGTTACCAGTGTCAAATGCAGAAGACAGGTTGAGAAGGATCAGGACTGAGAAAAGTCAATCAGATTTAGCAAATAAGAGATTATTGGTAAATGTGGAGATAGCAATTTCAGTTGAGTAATGAGGTCAGAAGGCAGAATACAAAGAAATGAGGAGTGAATGAAAGGACAGAAGTGATTATAAATAGCCTTTTCTGGAAGTTTGGCTGAAAAAGAGGAGAGAGAAAAGACAATAGCTTGAGGGTCTGATAGGGTCTAGTAAAGGTTGATGAAGGACTTGGGCATGTTTGAAGGCAGTAGGGAAGGAGTCAGTTGATTAGGAGAGGAAAAAGATGAGAGAGGGAGAGAGAAGAGGGGTGGGAAGGGTGAGAGGGACAGAGAGAAAGAGAGAGAGAGACAGAAAGAGAGAGAGAGAGAGAGAAAGGATGATTATGGATGCAATTGGGAGTAGGGGAATGGAACTTGTACATGGCTAGGAGAAGGGCCATCTCTTTTTCAGATGTTATAAGAAAAGAGGAGGGAGAGGGTTACATTATCAAGAGGTTTTGAGATGAAGAGAAAGGAAGAGGAAGTTAATGCTGTATGGTCACAATGTTCTCAGTAAAGTAAGAGGCAAGATTCTCAGTTGAGAGTAGAGAGGGAAGGAGTTGTGGAAGGCTTGAAGGAGGATTTGGAATAGCTGTTATGAGCAGTGAGATAAGAAATCATTTAGGGAGGAATAAAAGTATTAACTTGCTGTAGCGAGGGCCTAGGACTGGTAGGGCCCAGTCAGACATGGTTATATCCAGCTTCATTCAGCAGATGAATAGCAGAAGAGAAGGCTGAGCATGGAAGTAATCTAGAACTAAAATTTGGCAAGTGAAGAGCATTACAGGGGTAAGGCAAAAGAATCAAGAGCAATGGGTATTGTTGAGTTGAAATGACTAATTATTAGGCTGATGTTGGAAGGGAAGGGAATGAACATTAATTAATTCCCTGCTATATGCCAGGCACTGTGCCAGGTACATGTTTTACAAATATTACCTCATAAAAACACTGAGAGTAGGTAAAATTACTAAATTGAAGAAAGACAAAAGTGAAATTAGAGCAGGAGCAGTAGCTGGGGAAAGTACTGAGGGACTGAGGAAATGAAAGTCTAGTAGAGGGAACAAGTGAGATGTTAATACAAGCAGAAAGACAAGCCCTACCCTCAAGGAACTTACATTCTCATGGGGGAAGATAACACATAAAAAGGAAGCTAAAAAGGGCAGCAGGGACAGAAGCTATCTATACCCCTTTCTAAATGACTGTTGAAAGGAAACTAAGTGTTAGAATTAAGACCTTTGGTCTCTAAATCTCTACAATGCCTACAGCCTCATTCAGGCGAGTAATTCCTGTGGAGAAGGGGCCAGCCAGCCATCTTCATCAACTACCAACCAACTGCCACTTATAAGGCAGGCAAGCCAGTCTATCTGAATCAATAAGGAACCCTGAGGGAGAGACAAAAGGCAGCACGTGATAGGCAAATCAAATGTTACCCCAGTTACCAATTCTCCTTAGACTATGTTAGAGAAAGCCCAGGACCACAGGCCTAAGAGCTCTAAGAACAAAATTGCTCCCCCTAAATCAGCAGCTCTGCTTTCAGCCATGCCCCTAAAGCCAACATCCAGTGAATTTAACTCTTGTAGAGAGCTGACTTGGTAATTGCTAAGACCTGAAAAGATGAATTCTCTCCATTGAAGACTGACATAGTCAAAAAGTTCAGAATAAAAAATGGGTATGATTTTATTATGATGGGAAATAACAATAAAGATAAATCATCATCTGCTTTTACTGCTGTATCCTAATCTCATATGCCATTCCATCTGATTTGCAACTAAAACCTCCTATGTGTATAGTCTCCTCCATTAGAATGTGAGCTCTTGGGAAGCAGGCACAGTCTTGCTTTTCTATTTGTATTCCTAGCACTTAACACAATGCTTTGTATGAAGTAAGTGCTTAACAAAGACTTTTTCATTCATTCACCCACTCCTTCATTATGAATTATGCTGGCTCATAATTCTCACAAGATTCTCTGAAAGTCAACAGCTTACAGAAACTAAAGAACTGAGGTATGTTTTGACCAAAACCAAAATGTGCCTAAGATGAATTCTGGCCATGAACTTGGAACACCCAGCTTCTAATTCCTAATTCCATCACATGCATGTCGTGAAATATCAGTAAGTACTTTTCCCCAGCCCCTATAATTCACTGTACTCCTGAGAAGAATATTGTAAACTTGCATAAGCTGTTTGGTCATTGTTAACCTAGAGAAACATTTTCTTTTCATGGAAGCAGTTGTGGAAATCTTGGGAGAGAAACACCTATAAAATTACATTACAGGATACAATATAGAAGTACTTCTACAGACATAAAATAAAAGAAAAAAAAACTTCACTCACAGTTTGAGATTCACGAATTTTAGGAAACATTTTGGTAATATTGAGTCCATCAATCACAATATCAAAAGGAGGGCAACTTTTAATAAAGTTTACAAATCTGTTAATTTCCTAAAAATAAAAGATAAATAGTTATCATATTAACAAGAACTTCATTGAATTCTTACTAAAGAGAGTATGCTAAAATATATCATGATTTTTGTGGTTGATTAAAAATTTTTACAGAAAACACATACAATATATGTATGCACACTCTCCACATACAACTCCTCTCACAAAGAGGCTAAAAGAACGCAATGACTGCAATGACATAGATAGAATAAGTCTGCCCTGGACTGTCAAACTGATGCACCAGATGAGATATATCTATCAGATTCAACAAGCCTATGATATAGTCCACTATCATTCTTTGGTAGTCACAGGTGCAACCAAATTTGGATACTAGTACTTTAAAAAATTCTGAATGTTCATTGAGGGCAATACTTGACTACTTGTCAAAATTTGTTTACTAATTTGATGTCTTCACTAGTTTTTTGCATTAGATCAACTTGGGAATGTTCAGAAATAGGGACATTATCTGATATAAATGGATAAGTATTTTGTACAAAACCATAGTGCCAAAAAATATGTTAAAACTGAGAGGTCATATGGCTTTTTTTCCATTCAGAACTGTAGCACCCTCACAGGAGGCAATAGTTTTTGAGTTCTGACAAAGAACAATATCCTATAATCCAATGTTGCCCATAAGCAGCCACAGCAATACTCCTAATGAGCAAGTCTAGCTTGATTCAATAAGCTCTAGAACAGGGTGGGCAACCTGTGGCCTGGAGGCCACAGGTAGCCCTCTAGGGCCTCAAGTTTGGCCTTTTGACTGAATCCAAACTTCACAGAACAAATCCCCTTAATAAAAGGATTTGTTGGGGCAGCTAGGTGGATAGAGTACCGGCCCTGGAGTCAGAAGGATCTGAGTTCAAATTCAGTCTCAGACCAGACACTTGAGACTAGTTGTGTGACCCTGGGCAAGTCACTTAACCCCATTGCCTCCAAAAAAAAAAAAGATTTGTTCTGTAAAACTTGGACTCAGTCAAAAGGTCGCATCCAAGGACCTAGAAAGGCCACATGTGGCTCACCCTTGCTGTAGAAGATCTTTTATTGCCTATGGATTGAATATAGATTCCTCTGTTTGGCATTTAAAGTCCTTCACAATCTGATTCTAACCTATCTTTTCTGTGCCTATTTATTAGTCCTCTTTATACTTTCCATGGTGCTGCCAACATGGTCTTGTTATTCCTCACATATGACATTTTATCCCCCTATTCTTTAAATATTTGACAGAATTTGCTTGTAGATCCATTTGATCCTGGGTTTTTGCTCATTTATGGTGTGTTCAACTTATTTTTCTGAAAATGGGTTCTGCAGAGCTCTTATTTCTTATACTAGGGCATTTTATACTTTTGTAAATATTAATCCATTTACATTGTCAGCTTTATTGGCATATAATTAGGCAAAATAGTTTCTGATAATTTCTTTAATTTCTTAATTGTTTGTGAATCTACCCTTTTCATTTTTATGGGTAATTTCAATTTACTTTTCCTTTTGTATTTTATTTAAAAGAAAAAAAACCAGTGCCTTTTTATATTTATTAATACAACGAAATTTTTTTACTTTAAATTTTATTAACCTCTTCTTTGCTTTTCTAGATTTCTTTTTTGTTGTTTAATAGGGTTCCTAATATTTACTGTTTTTTTTAGCTTTTGTTTTTTGTGGTTCCATGCCCAATTCATTGGTCTACATTCTCTCTTTTTTATTAATGAGTGTTTAGAGATATAAAAAAATTTTCAGGGCAGATAGGCAGCTATGATAGAGCTCTGGCCTTGGAATTAGGGGGACCTGAGCTCAAATCTGACCTCAGATACATGATACTTATTAGCTGTGTGACCCTGGGCAAGTCTCTTACCCCTGATTTGCCTCACCAAAAAAAATAAAAATAAAAAAAAATAAATAAATTCCAAGGACTGCTTTGGCTACATTGCAAAAATTTTGGTATGTTGTCTTATTGTTGCTACTATCTTTAAAGACCTCATCAATTATTCCTATAATGTGTGTCCCCCCCCATCCTTAAGTTATTTAGCCTCCAAATAATTTTCAATTGTTTCTTTAGTGGCCCTTTATTGAATATAATTTTTATTACACTGAGGTCTGTAGAAGATGTTTAGCATTACTGCTTTTTAACATTTCTTTGTGAGGATTTTATGCTTTAGTAAATGATCAATTTTTGTAAAAGTATCTTGCACAACTGAGCAAGATGTATATTTCTTTCTAATCCTATACAACAGTAATCAGACATGTATATAGCTAAACTTTCTAAAATTCTATTCAGGTCTCTAACTTCTATCTAATTTATTTTTTTGTTACATTTAACCAGTTCTAAAAGGCACATTGAGGTATTCCCCTATTCCAACTTACAATTTCTCCCTAGAATTCATTTTTTCCCTTAAATTATTTAGCTTTATGCAATTTAGTGCATATATGCTTAGTATTGACATGAATTCATCATCTATTGTACCTTTCAGCAAGAGGTAGTTTTCGCATTGCTCTTTTATTTAAATCTATTTCTGCTATTGCCTTGTCTAAGATCAAGATTACTACTCCCTGCCTTTTTTTTTTACCCCCTGCTTTTTTAATGTCAGCTAAAGTATAACAGATTTTGTTCTAGCCCCTTATTTTAACCCTCTGAATCTTTATGTTTCGAGTGTTTTTTGTTTTGTTTTTGGTAAACAAAATATTGTTGAATTCTGCTTTTTAATCCATTGTGATATCCTCTTCTGTTTTATGGTTGAGTTTATTCCATTGACATTCATGGTAATTATAGTTAACTGTGTGTTTCTCTCCATCTTCTTCTCTTACATTTCTCCTTTTATTTGTTCCCATTCCCTCTTTATAGAGAAAAGGGAGTGTGCTTAGCACCAATGTTCTAGGTTTGGTAAAGTATGCTTTTGCTCCCCTGACCCTCTTCTCTATCCCTCCCCCTACATCCAATAACAGATTCTTTTTTATTTTTTAGGCAATTGGAGTTAAGTGACTTGCCCAGGGTCATTCAGCTAGTAAATGTCAAGTGCTTGGTCTGAGGCTGGATTTGAACTCAGGTCTTCCTGAATTTAGGACTGGGGCTCTATCTATTGTGCCACCTAGCTGCTGTCCCCCAGCAACAGATTCTTATCCTTTCTTTTTTTTTTCCCTTTTTATAATTTTTAACAAGTGTTTTTAAAACTTTGGGTTATAAATTTTCTCCCTTCCTCCCTCCCCACCCACCCTCATTGAAAAAAAAAAACCACATCTCGACACAGGTTATAGATGTGTAGTCATGCAAAACACTTCCATAGTAGTCCTGTTGTGAAAAACTAAGTATATTTCCCTTCATCCTATCCTAACCTCTATTTATTCTATTCTCTCATTTGACCCTGGTCCTCCTCAGAAGTGTTTGCTTTTGATTATCCCCTCCCCCAGTCTGCCCTCCCCTCTATTGACCCCCTGCTCTCTGGTCCCCTTTCCCCCTTATTTTCCTGTAAAAGATACATTTCCATACCCCATTGGGTATGGTATTCCCTCCTTAAGCCAAATCCTATGAGAATAAGATTCACTCATTCCCTCTCACCTTCCCCCATTTCCCCTCCGCTGTAAAAGCCGTTTCTTGTCTGTTTCATGTGAGATATTTTACCTCCCTCTACTTCTCCCTTTCTCCTTCTCCCAGTATAATCCTCTCTCACCCCTTAATTTTATTTTCCAGATATCACCCCTTCATCTTCCATTCACCCTGTGCCCTCTATCTATCTATCTATACATACATATAATTTTTTTCCCTCCCACTACCGTAATACTGACAAAGAACTCATGAGTTACAAATATCATCTTTCCCTGCAGAAATGTAAACAGTTCAACCGTAATAAGTCTTTTTTGATTTCTCTTTCCCTGTTTACCTCTTCCAAGTTTCACTTGAGTCTTGTATTTGAACGTCAAATTTTCTATTCAGCTCTGGTCTTTTCCACA